CAGAAGATCTTCAAAAAGGCAGCTTCATGGAAAGTGTATTGCAATCCCCTTATGGACTTTTTGCAGAAAATAGAAAAAAAATGAACTTATGATTTATGGTTTTGATGGTTAGATAGGATAGATTATAAAAAGAAGAGAGACATGTCGTAACTTTAGAGAAAGAGGTAAAATTATATTGTACTTATAACTGCTGTAAAGAAGATAAGAAGCCACTTCTTTATATCTTTTTTCTTTCTTTTTTATTTTTCTTCTACCTTTTTTCCTTTATTTTTTTCTTTTTGCACTGGCTTTCTTTTTTATTTCTTCCTTTTTCTTTTTTCCTTCTTACTCTATTTTAGTTTGCATTAATTTTTACTCTTGTTTTTAAAACTTTCAATAAAATGATATTAAAAAAAAAGAAAGTGAATTTCAATCAAGTTATGACAAGGGTACAACTGATAATATGCACTCTTGCCCCTGTTCCAAGAAGGCTGCAACTGGTATACCAGCTGAACTTGGCAAAGACTCTCCTACCCACAGCTTTCATCTGGTCTTCCAGCAGGAGCCATGTTTCTAGGAAGACTCCAAGACTGTGTGCCTGCTTGTTTAGGGCACCCCATTAAGAGTCCAAGATGAAACAGTCATGGAATCTGAATTAACAGTCATTCTATCTACTTTGGGCTGAATCTGAGCCTATTTCTCCCTATCCAACCCCTGAGCCTATTTCTCCCTATCCAACTCCTGACAACCCTAACCCTAACCCTAACCCTAACCCTGACAGGGGGTTGGATGGGGAGAAACACCTGATTAGGACCTCAATCACATTTCCCATTTAGCTTGGGATGGAGATACACAGCTAGGAGTCATCTGTATATGGACAATATCTCACCCCAAACTGAGGATGGGCCAATTCAGAGGCTTTGTGTAGATACTGAATACAACGGGGGAGAAGACTGAGCCCTGGGCACTCCATATTATCTTCTCTACAACCAGTGACTATAAATCACCGTACAGTGGTGCCTCTACTCCATTTTACAACTCCAAAAAGGAACATCTGAAATAGCCTAAAACTAGTAGACAAGGTGAATTTACAACCAATCCTGCAATAGGGTTAAGCAGTTCAGGAAGGGCAACAGTGGCACAGCTGGAGTATGGTACAACAGCAGCAACCCTAGTTTATACCTCTGGCACAACTGTATAAAATTCACATCTGGACACCTCCAGAATAATTCTTTTGATTTACAGTACAACTCTGTTCTGCTTCTGTTCTTTTTGAATGAACTGTACTCTTCAATTACAGTGGTACCTCGGGTCACGAACTTAATTCGTTCCGCGACTCTGGTTGCGACCCGAATTGGTCGCGACCTGAA